TAAAAATAAAAAGGCAGAAGAGTGAAAGTCACTTGGTTACCATGATAGAAATAGTGATGACCCCACTTAGCAGCATTAATTCATGTGAATTGAAAGGGGAAACATGGCCATTTTTTTTTTGACTGATTATGAAATGGCCATTTAGATGAGTAATTTCAGAAGTTTAGAGGAGATAAATGAAAAAAGAGTTACTTGGCAATGGCTGAAATGCACAAACTACAATGACCAATCCTGTAGTATCATAGTATTATAACTGGCAGAGTCCTTAAAGGTCAATGACTCCAACTTCTTCATTTTACAAATTGACACAAACATATATATATGTATATATGTATATATATGTGTGTGTATATATATGTATGTATGTATGTATATATATATATTTAAATTTTTGTCTTCAGGGTTCAAATCACATAGGATCATGGATCTCTATCTGTAAGGGACCTCAGGCCAAATTGAATAGATCTAGAGGTCAAAGGGATCATAGAAGCCAACTACTCAAAAATGCTAATTTTATAGATAAGGAAACCGAGGACCAGGAAATTGAAGTGGCTTGCTCTAGGTCACATAAGTAGTAAGTGGAAGAATCAAGGTTGGAACCCAGGCCCTCTGCCTCCAAATCCAGCACTCTTTCCACATCACCACACTACTTCCCTTTTTCTAGGGATTGAGCCAAACCAAGATATCTATATATTTTAAATGGAGCGTGAGGTCAACCAAGGAACAGAAGTTGTATAGTTGGGTGTTTGAGGCTCTTATACTGTTCTCTGAATGCCTAGAATCAACCACTGTGAAATCGCACCAAGTTTTGTCCTCTGTTCTCTTCACACTCGAAAATTATCTTCCTTTCTTTTTACAGGGATATTGACATAAAAATTTACCACCACCCCCACCCCTCATAAAACCTTCCAATTTTCTTAGATCTAAAATTGAAAAAGATCTGACTAAATTCACATTAATATTTAATGAATGCTATGTTACCCCTACTTGGGGGAATTTTCATTTTAAAAGAGAATGTTTGGAGAGGTAATACCCTTAACCCAATGAGATGGGTGACTAAGAGTAGAATTTCAGGCACTGTTGCTCCTGCATAGTGGCAAAAGACTCCCTAGTGCAGCTACTTACCCTGTACATACTGGCAGCCCCAAACATTGAATACAATACTAATGCAATGAAATACCCAAAGAAATCCAGAGAAACAGGGGAAGACTTGATGCAGTAAATTAAAATTAAATTACTGATGCCAGTAAAACAATACAAACAATGACTACAATAACAAATGAAAAGAACCTTAAATTATTACTAAGTAACCATTACAACTAATATAACCTCAACAACCACAATAACCCAGGAGAGGAGAGGAGGAGGTAACTTCTTCCTTGTGGTAGAAATATGGGGGACTGTAACAGGTACAGAAAGTCAGACAAGGGCATTGTGTCAGCTGATTTTGTTTGATTTTTTTTTTTTGTTACATGAGAGGGCTCATCCTATCTCACATGGTTGTGATATAAAAATAAAATGCATCCATAAAATTCATTAAAAAAATGAACAAATATCCACAGAGATCTGAGCCACATCTGAGGAAACTGGTAACCACAAGGCTAAGTGACTTAATTCATAAGATCCTGTCTAAGTGATAGAGTCAGGTACAGAATCATGTCAACTCCATAGTTACTGTTTCTGAGCCTTCCAAATTCATCTTGAAAGAGTAAGCTCATGTGTGCCCTCCTCTAGGAAGTCTTCCTTGATTCCTTCCACCAGAAAGTATTGTTTCCCATTGAATCTCTCAGATCACATCGTTTGAACTATTTCATTCACTCTGTAGATGGCATAGAAGAGAGCCAGCCTCAGAGTCAGAACAAAAGGAGTTACAGTCCCACTTCCGACACGTTCTGGCTGGATGATCCTGGCCAGGTCACTTAAATTCTCAGAGTCCCAGGCAGCTCTCTAAGACACAAGTTACCAAGCAGTTATCCTTTGCATTGGTAGAGGGAGTATCTCAAAGGGAGATAACTATACTGAGGAAACCACAGGTCCAATTAAAAAAAATGTACTTAATCATATTCTGACTTGTGCTATACTTAGAGCCAAAAGTGCAGGAGACCTGAAAGGCATTTGGCTGATATAAGTAGGCTGCTGCATGTTACCCATGATGATTCACATATGGGAAGTGGTATTCATTAAATAATCATGTCATGGATAACTGTAAAAGGAGGAAAGCCAGTCAATAAGTAAGGGAGAAGGATAACCAATGGATAGCCCTAACATTGCACTGGTGTCTATAACATTACAAAACAAACAAACAGACACCTAGGGAAAGGTCCTCTATAGAAGATTAATGAAAGAGCACGTTCAAGAACTTCACAGGACGAGGTATGGAAGGGTTGTGATCTCTGTTAATGCAGACAGGATTGATGCCAGCGTGATCACAGGAACAAAGGAAGGGGAGGCAGTATGTTACTCTGGAGTCGGGGACCTAGGTTCAGTGTCCTATTGACTACTACCTATGTGTCTTTGGTCAAGTCACTTGAGGGGATGGGGTAGAGATGGGGCAGAGCACAGGGACTGTGCTACATACTTTATAAACATTTCATTTGATACTCCCTAAGCCTCACTTTCTTCATCTATAAAACGAGAGGGTTGAACTGGATGGCTTCTGAGATTCTTTCCAGCTCAAGACCCAGGATCCTAATGTATTTTACTGTCTTTGGTATATATGTTTTTTCCTTCTACTAAATTGTAAGCTCCCTGAAGTAAAGGACAATTTAATGTTTTATCTTTTAACCCCAATGTCTAATAAATGGCCTTTAAAAATTAAAGTGGACCCCATCTATTTGTCTTGAGGTGCCAATAGCAAATAAATGTAAACAAAAGTAAGTCAATAATTTCTATCTCTAATTTCCTGAGGTAAGGGATACCTTTATTCAGTTGGGAATCATGAGAACTGGGTTCTAGTCCTGAATCTGTCTTTATCTATATGACCTTGCACTAGTTCTTCCATTTCTCTTGTACCTCAGTTTCCTCACTTGTAAAATGGGCATAACCCCACATCCTCTATCCACCAAACATTTCATCTCTTTGTTGTAAGGATTGTATGAGAGAATATCTGTGGAAGGGCTCTGAAATGAATCAATGGCAGCAGGAATGAAAGGTGCTGCTATTACTATCCCCAAAGGTTTGAAGTAGAGGACAAGATGCAAATCAATTATTCATTAAGCACTTACTGGGAGACATTATGCTAAGAGAAGGGGTAGGAGAAAAGGGTTGAAGCAAAAACAGTCCCTACCCTAAAGGGGATTACATTCTAATGAGGAGGGTGATATGTACACACCAATAGGTATATCTAAGATATATACAGAGTGGATGCAAGACAACCTTAGAAGGAAAAGCATTAGCTATCATTGAAAGAGAGAGGGGCACCTGGGAGGCTAAGAACTTCCCTTTCAAAACCCTGTGGGATGACATCACACTACAATACCTGTCCAATAGCTGAGTCTGTGTGCACCATATTGTTTATAAACACAAATAACCTCAAGTTGTATCAGTAGTTTCAAGTACTTCCTTTCTTGGCACATTCCTTAGCCCTGACTCACCAAAAAGAAATAGAGCTGGGGTTTTAAACTCTTATTGTGTTGAGGATCTCTTTATCAGTCTGATGAAGACTATGGTCTTTTCTCAAAATATTTTTAAATGAATAAAATAAATGATTACAAAGGAAACCAATTATATTGAAAATTTATCAAAATATTAAATATTATAACAACCAATTTACAGATCCTCTGCAATCTGTCTATAGACCCTTTAGGGGTACATGGACCCTAGACTAAGAACTCCTGTCATAGAGCTTAAAGAAACCTTAGACACATTTTATTCTAACCCCTAATGATCTTATAAATGAGGAAATAAGCCCAGTGGGTTGGAGTGACTTGCCCAAGGTCACAAAGCTACATTAATGGCAGCAATGGAAAAAGGATTTTATTTGGAGGCCTAAGAGCTGGGGTTTAAATTCTGACTAAGCTACATGCTACCTGGGAGACCCTGAACAAGTTGCAACCTCTCTGCATTTTATTTTCCACATTCATAAAATTTAGGTGGTTGGACTAGATGGATCCTTCCTTTTCAATTCTAAATTGATTATTACATTTCAGGACTAGAATTCAGGTTTCCTCATTCGTGGGATCCTAGTTTTTCCCTAGAAGGGACCTTAGGGATCATCCAATTTTAAGCACCCTCATTTCACAGAGGAGGAAAGAGATGCCCAAGGAAGAATCATGTTTTGCTTAAGGCCACAAAAAATGTTGTGACATTTTTTTCCTTCATACCAATCTGCTTCTCCCTGGTGAAATCCACTGAAGCCCATGTTTCTTTCCATTCTTTCTGACCAAGCACTCACATCCATTAGTTGTAGTACAGGCTATGCAGAGGGCATGGTGACTACCCTTGGGGAGTGCTCACTCTTTGTAGCATTTCTGTCCAGATGTTCTGGATTCTTTCTTCATACTAGAGAAAAAATTCAGGTACCTATCTCATTTTTTGTGCAGAAAGATAGGAAAGGGACTGAAAAGGAAGGAAAGGGACTATTTGTGAACATCACCTCCCTTCCCCCACCTTGCATATCTGTAAAAGGAAGCTTCTGTTTCTCTGTGTGGTAGCTTTCTGAACAAACTGGATGAAAGTCTCCTTGAACACTGCCTGTTGGCTCTGCTTAACTTCTGAATTCACTGAGTAGAGAATGCAGGGGCACTCTGGCCTCCAGCTCCAAAAGCTTGTTAATTAGAGATGAAGTCATAGAATTGAGGGCTGACAAAAGGTTATCATCCTCACCTAAATTATACCTCAAACTACTCCCAACAGAACATAAGTTCCTCGATGGCAGGAATGGTTTTATTTCCGTCCTTGTGCTCCCAGAGCCTAGCACACGCACACACATACTTCATGTCTGTTGAGTTGGATGCAATGAGCTGAGGCCTGAAAGATTTCAAAGGCAGAATTAATTTTACCTTGCATTCTTCATCCAACAGGTCCAAGATGCCCAGTTTAGCTTCTATTAGGTCAATGCAAGGCTGGTTATCATAAAAATCAATCAAGGTCCACGGGATTTGTTCCTTCATATATTCTTCTTGCTCCAGTTTGAAGACATGCTGGGGTCAGAAGTGAGGAAGAGTTACATTTTGGTGAAATGCTGGAGCACCAGACCAGGGGAGTTATATGTCCCAGGAGAAATTAATCTCTCTTTAGGCCACATTAGACTATAGAATAAGTGCCCTATAGATCCTGAAAACATTGAACAATTCACAGATGCAGCTTTTGATGACAGTGGGGTATGATTTATTCAGATGTTTCTATTTTCCCACCTGGGACCCACCCTCACATCATTCAAACCACCTATCTCTGCTCAAACCACAGAAATCACTAAATGTGGCTTTCAACAATCTGGGCTGCATCAGAGTTTGGACTGCCCAAGAGCCAAGGGTAATAAGTCAGACAGTATATCACCCTGATTCAGACCTCTTAGTATGTACAGTATAGTATAGTATGGGCTATTCCTCATGATGCAAAAGGACTAGAATCCAAGGAGTGAGACTAGAACAAACAAAATTAACATAGGAGAGCAAAAAAGAGGCCTTGGAACCAATGGAACAAAGGGAGTTTAACCAGTGAGTATGAACAGGAGGCTTACCCAGTTGAATTGCTGCTGGAGTTTTTCATTTGCATAGTTGATACAAAACTGTTCAAAGCTGTTCACCTCAAAAGTTTCAAATCTGCAAAGTGGAACAAAAAGAAACAATGAGTAGAGTGAGGAAGATACTGTCTTTTACTCTGGAACCTGGTGACCCAGGACTGAAAAAGGATATATTCTCAACCCCAGTTCTAAATTCCAGTTTGCTGTTAACATATCATGAGCATCAAAATGATTATCTGAACTAAAAAAAAAAAAAGAAGAAGCCTGGATCCTACAAAATGGTGATTATTCTAAAAATTGTTTATTTTTGACGCAGAGAGATATTGATACACACAAACACACACACCACTTCTGTAAAATGTGGAATACTATATAAATATAAGCTACTATTGAGGACAAACCCACCTCATTCTGAGTCTAAGCCTGGCTTGTTCGGCCTTTGGCAACACTTAATGGAGGTCCTGGCCAGATTTGGGGATGGAAGGGGCTCTATGCCACACATAAAACCTGCAATGGTTACCTCATTCAAGAATATCTGGGAGCTGTCCATGGTTCTGAGGGCACAACTCTAGAATCTGAGGTTGGAAAGAAGCCTGGGGCCATTTAGACTAACCCATACCTGAAAAAGAATCCTCCTCTACAATATCCTTGGTAAGACATCATTCAGCCATTACTTGAAGTTGTCCAGGGAATAAGAATTTATTGGGTCCCAAAGCAGTCCATTCCACTTCTAGACAACTCTAATAGATAAGAACTTTTTCTTTACATAAAACCTAAATTTGTCTCTCTACAACTTTTACCTATTGCCTCTGGTGCTGCTTTCTGAGGCCAGACAGAACAAGTGTTTCAATTTCTTAAAGACAGTTTTGAGACCATTCTCCTCCTCATCCCACCTCATCTTCTTTCTTCATCTCCATTTCATGGTCTCAAATCCCTTCACTGTCCTGGACATCTTTCTCTGAACATACTCAAGTTTGTCAATGTCTTTTCTAAAATATATTACCCTGAATGGACACACTATTTTGGATTTGTTCTGACCAGGGCATAGTACACTGGGTCAGTCAATTCCTTTGTTCTGGAATCATTTAACATTCATAAGGTCTGAGATCTAGTGCTGCAAAAAATTTCAGGGGTCATCTAATCTACCCCTCTCATGAGGATAAGAGAAGGAGGAGGAAAGTGAAGACAATAGGGGCTAAGTGAATTCCCAAAGGTCACACAGACAGCAAGTATCCAAGGCAATATGTGAACCAGGTCCTCTGACTCCAAAGTCAGTGTTCTTTGCCCTGAGCATTGATACTGTCTTTCATTTATCCAATATTTATTAAGTATCTAATCATTCAAGGCAGTCATTAAGCATTTATTAAGCCCTTATTATGCACTAGAAATTGTATTCAGTGCCAAGGTTACAAAAAAAGGAAAAAAAATAGTCTCCATGGTCACAATAGTCTCACAATATAGTGGGGAAGACAACATGTGAACAACTATTTACATGTAAGATACATACAGAATAGATGGAAAACAATCACAAAATGCAGGCACTAACTGCACTGGGAAAGGCTTCTTGAAGAAGGTAGGATTCAAGCTTGATCTAGAAAGAAGCAAGAGAATGTAACAGTGCACTGGAATGGGGTAAGGATTTAAGCCTAACTTGGGAATATTGGGAGTTGTAGTCTTCATATCACTGGAAGAGGTTTGGGGAGGGGGATAAAGGGTAGTATTCCAGCTGTGTGGGCTTTGCAGTTCTGGTTATGTGGGATGGTTGTCTACAAAAAGATAAGAGAGTACACCAAGGCCTTTGGAAACAACTAGCAGCCCAATTTACCTGGAAGGCAGAGTACATGGAAGGGAAAGGAGGATAGAGAACAAGTATTTATTAAGTGCTTACTATGTTCTAGGCACTATGTTAAGCTCATTATAAACACTATCTCATTTGATCCTCATGACAACCTTGTGAAGAAGGTGCTATTATTATCCTCATTTTGCAGGTGAAGAAATTGAGGCAGACAGAAGTTAAGTGAATTATCCAAAGTCACACAGTTCTCAGTTTCTGTTCTTTACCACCACAAAGAGTTGTTATAAATATTTTGGCACAAACATGTCTCTTTCCTCTGGGTTTTTTTTATTTTGGGGGGGATACAAGCCTCATAGAAGTATTACTAGGTCAAAGGGAATCTACAATTTAATGGCTTTTTGGTCAGCATTCTGAATTGCTTTCCATAATGGCTGGACCAAAATCCCCAGATCCACCAACAGTGCATTAATGTGCATGTTTTCCAACAGCCCCTACAATGCTGGTTATTTTCCTTTTTAAAAATCTTTGCCCATCCAAGACAACTCTGAAGGACTTATGATGAAAACTGTTATCCATCCCCAGAGAAAGAACTGATGGTGTCTGAATACAGATTGAAGCATACTTTTTCTTTATTTTTCTTGAGGTGTTTTTTTTTTTGGTCTGTTTTCTTTCACAACATGACTATAATGGATATGTTTTGCAAGACCACACCTATATCAAATATATAACTTATACTAAATTGCTTGCCTTCTCAATCGGGGGAGTGAGGAGGGAGGAAGGGAGAGAATTTAGAACTCAAAGTTTTAAAAACGAGTGTTAAAAATTGTTTTCGCATATAATTGTTGAAAAATAAAATACTAAATAAAAAGAAAAAAACCTTTGCCAATCTAATAAGTTTGATGCAGTAGCTCTAAGTTGCTTTAGTTTGAACTTCCTTAATTAGTGATTTATAGCATTTTTTCATATCACTGATAAACTGAATGTCTTCCTTTGATAACTACCTACTCATATCTTTTGATCGTTGAACAATTAGGGAATGACTCATTCTTATAATTTTAATAATTCCTTATATATCTTGGAAATGAGAACTTTATCATAGAAACTTGCTGCACAGATTTTTGTTCTCAGGTAACTATTTTTCTTCTAATTTTAGCTTCATTGGTTGTTGTTGTGTGTGTATGTGAAAAAATTTTTAACTTTATGTAATAAAAAATGTCCATTTAATATTCTATGACCTTTCCCATCTCTTATTTTTGTTATGAACTCTTCCCCTATCCATATAGCTGAAAGAAATTTTTCCATTGTTTCTATAAGTCTCTTGTATGATTATAATGAGTCTTGTTGGGTAAGTTATTCTTGGCTATAAGCCTATTTCTTTTGACTTTTGGAATCTGGTATCTCAAAATCTCCACTTCTTTATATTGATATTTGCTAAATCTTGTGTGATCCTGACTATAATTCCTCAGTAAGAACTTTTTCTTTCTGGCTGCTTCCTTTGATTTGAAGTTCTGTATTTTTGCCATGGCATCCTGAGGATTTTTCACTTTGGTTTTTCTTTCAAGAAGTGACTGGCAAATTCTTTCTATTTTTCACTTTGCCTTCTGGTTCTAAAAAATCTGGATAGTTTCATTTCATGATTTATCAAAACATGGCATCCAGGCTCAATTTTTTGGGTCTTGTCTCATTTTTTCCCCCTGTAAAATGAAGATAACAGTACCTACTTTCAAGGTTTGTTGTGAGGATCAAATAAGATAATATTTGTGAAGCACTTTGCAAACCTTAAAGTGCTATATAAAACCTTCAAGGTAGTCCAAAGATTCTGAAGCTATCACTTCCTGATATAGTTTCCTGATCAGATGTGTTTGATAATAAATACCTTACATTTTCTTCTAATTTTTTCAGTCTTTTGACTTTGTTTTAATATTTCTTATCCCATGGCATCATTTCTCTTTGGTTCATTCTAATTTGCAAGGAATCTGTTACTGGGGTAAAGTTTGGTACCTCTTGAATTAAGTTGTTAATTATCTCCTCCATCATTCTCATTTCATTGATAACATAATTTTTAACTTAAAAACAACAACAACAATAACTTTTGCTTCATGTCTTCTGGAAACTCTAGTTGACCTTTGGTCAAGCCATTTTCTTTTGAGACTTTGCTTGGAGATATTTTCTTCTTCTGTGTTAGTGTCTTAGGATTCCCAGGCACCAAAACAGATCTTTATTTTTGTTTATTCATTCTTTCAGCCTTGTTTCTTGTGTAGGGGCTTTGTTTTAGGGCCAGGTTCTTCATCTTTCTGGACAGAATACCAGAGCATTGCTTGGTCCTAGTTTGTATTCCTTGGGGTCCTGATGATGCTTTCTTCAGGTATTAAGTGTTGTGTTCTCCAATGATCTCAGGGGTGACTTGAGCCAACCCCCTGCAAACTAGCAGTGCACCATCAGGTAGCCTGATCTCATGTAAAGTCTGCTCACTGCCTTGCTGGTCTGAGTTTTGCAATATCCTGACCTCATTTTGGGTCTGAGTGAAAGAACTTGGGGCTCCAATGTGCCCCTAGTCCCTGTCAGTTGGCTAGAAGTCTCTGAAAGTTCAGAATGGTAGAACTGCAGGCTTGCCCTTGGCCTGAGTTCCCTGTCCTGATCCACTGGGTGTCAGCCTCAAACCAATGTAAGGGCTGAATCTGTGAACTCAATCCAGGGTCAGTGCCATACACTTGCTGATCATTCCTGTTCCTGCTCTTTCTTTGCCAAGAACACAGCCTCCAGCTACCTCTGAGCTAGATCTGCCGACTGGGCCACCACTCCCTGCTCTGGGACACAGCCAATCAGCTCTGAGCTTAGCCACAGCTTCCACCCTGCAATCATACTGGGATGCAGAACCATACAGCTACAGACTGGCTGCTCCCCTACTCCCCAAAGGCAGCTCTTGTTTGGCTTGGTATGCTTCTTGGATGTTTGCTGGAGTTGTTGTGGAGAAAGCTGGGCTGGATTGATTTATCCAAATCCACCATCTTGGCCACCTTTAGGACGTTTTTCAAGAAGCATGTTAAAAAAAGGCAGGAGAACATTTGGCAGGTTAAGAATGGGATGTGAGGGACAGCTAGATGGCACAGTTGATAGAGCACCGGCCCTGGATTCAGGAAGACCTGAGTTCAAATCTGGCCTCACACACATAACACTTACTAGCTGTGTGACTCTGAGCAAGTCACTTCATCCCATTGCTTTGCCAAAAAAAAAAAAAAAGAATGAGATGTAAGGGGACAGCTAGGTGGCTCAGTGGATGGACT